ATTAGACCATTAGGTAGAGCACTATTACTTTCAAAGAAGACAAAGATATAAAACTAGGTTGGCAAAGTGCAAACCCACACTAATCTGGTGAAATCTAAGGCAGACCATTATGAGGGCTGTACACTACAGAGGAGTGGAAGATGGGGAAGCTGGTCTGAGATAATGACAACCACACGGTGCAACCTGCTGCGGAACTCTGCCTTTCTCCCAGAGAAACGGGAAGTCACTGGAGACGTTTACAGGTAGAGATGTTAAAAACTGCACTACTCTCTCGCCTTGAGTGCTCTACCACATGAGCTACAGTGCCCCTTTCCATTTTCTGGTGGTTAACTGGAGTTTAGAGTCTCATGGGCTTTCCTGCCCAGGCTGGCTTTGAATCATGATCCTCAGAGCTCAGCCTCCTGAGAAGCTAGGATTACAGGCATGAGCCACCAGCTCCCAGTTGTTGTTGTTTTCAATGTACTATGTGATTTTTTGTTTCTTTTGTATGTTCTTCCTCCTGTGGCATATCCTCTGTTGACATAGTATTTGATTTTGGTACCCTGGTATTGTATATATGTTTATTTGTGTTAGGGAAGGGAAGGGGAAGAACAGAATGGTGAGACAAAGGGCAAGCAGACAATCAATGCAACAGCGTTATACAAGATAATATGTTGGAAATGATTTGTACAAAGTGGGAGTGGGGTGGGGGGAGGGAAAGTAGAAGAAAAAAAAAGGGAAGAGGTAATGAGTTTGATAAGAAATGGACTTATTACCTTGCTTATGTAACTGTAACCACTGTGTACATCACCTTGACAATAAAAAAAAAGATGTTGGGGAAAAACAAAGGAGAGGGTAACTGCTCAATAGGAAATGGATTCACTACCTTGCTCATGTAACTGTAAACCCTCTGTACAATATCTTTACAATAAAATATATATTAAAAAGAAAAAAAACTGCACTACTGAGACATAAGAAAGTAAGTTTTAGAGTTAAGGATGGAAGCAGTGAGACCACGCTCAAGGGGGAAGGTTGCTGCAAGGACACAGGTGAGACATGGCATGACTTGGACCTGGACTCCACGATAAGACAATACGGGGTTGGATCTGAATTATTTTGCAGGCAGAGCCCATGTGGACTAAGCTTTGGAATTTCTTCCGATTGCTGAGGAAAAGGAACAAGAAAATGTTGGGACCCACTGACAGACACATAGAGGCAATTGTTAAAGGTTATAAAATTATTAAAGGTTATAAAATTATTAAAGGTTATAAAAGCCACCGCCAGTGACTCACATCTGCAGCCTTCTATTCACATCTGTAATCTTCTAAACAGGTTTTCTTCAGGAGGCTGATATCTGGAAGATTGTGGTTCAAACCTAGCATAGCAAAAATCCTTCGGATTCTATCTCCAAAACTAACTGGCAAATAAAAAACAGTGCTGGGGGCTGGGAAGGTGGCTCAGTGGTAGAGCGCTTGACTTGCATGCATGAGGCCCTGGGTTCGATTCCTCAGTACCACATAAGCAAAAAGAAAAAAGCCGGAAGTGGCGCTATGTCTCAAGTGGTAGAGCGCTAGCCTTGAGCTGAAGAGCTGAGGGACAGTGCCCAGGCCTTGAGTTCAGGCCCCACGACCGGACCAAAAAAAAAAAAAAAAGAATTGTGTTTCTTGTAGTCCTTCAGTAAAAGAGCAGTGGAATGCTGAGCCTCCTAATTAGCTGTAACACAACACGACAATCTGGGTGAGTTTCTTAACAAATTAGAAATCAGTGTTCTCTTAGTTTAGAAGGAGCTTAAATGTATATGGAGGAGACAGTAACAGATTTCCCAGCAGAGTTCCTCTTTTTTTTGGGGGGGGGTCCGGTCGTGGGGTCTGAACTCTGGGCCTGGGTGCTGTCCCTCAGCTCTTCAGCTCAAGGCTAGTGCTCTACCACTTGAGCCACAGCGCCACTTCCGGCTTTTTTCTTTTTGCTTATGTGGTGCTGAGGAATCGAACCCAGGGCCTCATGCATGCAAGGCAAGCGCTCTACCACTGAGCCATCTTCCCAGCCCAGAGTTCCTCTTTTTGTGGGAGAGTAACAGTGGAATTAGTGCCTCTGGAGAGCTGCTGCTGCCATCTCTTGGGGGTTTGTTGTTGTTGTTTGGGTTTTGTTTTGTCCATCATGGGGCTTGAAATCAGGGCCTGTGCACTGTCCCTGAGCTTTTCTTCTCAAGGCTAGCACTTTACCACTTTGAGCCACATGGCCACTACCGGTTAACTGGAGATAAGATTCTCGCAGACTTTCCTGCTCATGCTGGCTTTGAACTGCAATCCTCAGATCTCAGTCTCCTGAGATCTCATGCCAGGATTACAGGCATGAACCACCAGCACCTGGCCACCATCCCTTCTTGACACTACCAAGGTGTTTGTGCCAGAGCCAGGAAGCATCCCATCCTTGATATAAAAATGATGCCTCCTATTTACAATAATCTTTCTACAAATAAATTCTATCTTTGACACATTTTTCTTGTAACTAAACTGGAGTGGGGTTTTTGGCTTAAAAATTTAAAATTATAATACTGACAATTTCCCTAAATGAATCTGTACCGGTCTGAGGTATGATTTCCATTATGTGATCAACTGCCTGGATGCTTGACAAGCTCCTGGCTCCACTGAATAATTTGGAAATAACAAAACTTCTCTCCCCGCCCCCCCACACCCCTTCCCCCACCCCGGAAAAAAAATCCAAAACTTAGCTGTCAAATTATTCTTCTAGTTTTGAAATGCCAAGGCACTGTGACAGATAACTATTTGAAAATCTGCATTCAAAGCTTCTAAATAGCATGAAATATTAGTTTGGAACCAACTGTTAAGGAGAAGGGCAGGGGCAGGGATTAATGGAGCTGCTGGTAAGGATTCTGGACCTCCTTCCTCATACTGGCATTTTAATGCTAGCACAAGACTTCCCAGAATTCCCCAACAGTGATTAGGCTGGGTATATTGCTTTCAAAAGGAATAAAAACTCCCCTCTCTGTGTATATTCAAAATTCTGTGTTTTGAAATAAGAGGGAAAAAGATATACAACAGGAAAAAAAAGTTTAACAAAGGTAATATGAAAAATGTTATGAAACATTAAATTATCTAACTGCAAAAGGATCTTGTAAATTTCACACATAGGCAAAGTCAAAATCAAAACAACAAAAAGTTCTCTAGTTAGTTGGTCTGTTTACCTTAGTTTCTTCATTTAAAACCATTCTCTCTAATAGAGCAACCACTGGCCACTAGACTAAATTTCTGTTCCCTGTATGCTTAAAATAAACATTGGATCCAAAGCTTGATGTGGAAAGAAGAATGTAAAATATCCTATTGATACTGTTCTTGTGGAAATAAATAATCATATTTAGGGAATCTACTGGATAAAATAAGAACACCATTAAAATTAATTTTGTGTTTTTATTTAATGTGGCTAGTAGTATATTTAAGATTAAATATATCACTTTTCAATCCCCTTTATATAACTACTTAAAGATGCTTAAAAATAATTTAAAAAATAATATGTAACTTGTGGCCAAGGATGGAAGTGGAGAGCTGGGGGTTATACTCATTACCCAACTTATGAAATAGTAACCCCTCTATAGAACAGCTTAATAATAATAATAATATTTTTAAAATAATAAGACTTGTAAAAATAAAGGTGTTACTCTTACTTATGGCTTTTCTATTGCAGTTAGACAACAGGGGTATATAAAATTAGACTGGATAATTTTACCTTTAAAATATGTCCTGTCTCTAAAGTCTGACACTAAGAAACTGTAGACACAAGCTGGTTAGTCTCCAGTAAGTTATTGCAGAGAATCTTGGCTCTGCTCAGTATTCTTCCAAACATTTTCACTTAGGCCTCTCAGTACCTTTCCCATGGTCAAAAAGACTAAACCTGTCAATGTGCTTATTGGTAGCTGTGAATGCAAGTTGATGGGGCCATTCCGGACAAACCTTTGTCACTGGGTCATATTCCTATCTGATAAACACCATCATTTGGAGACACACTAATTCTGCTTTTGATTATCTATGATGAAAGTAATAGCCCCTGTAGGGTTGATTCTTTTTCATACTTATATAGGAGTTATGGTACTAGATAACTTTAGGAGCATTATACAATGGTTTCCAAACCTGCTGGCACTTTTGAATCACTTGGGGAACATCAAAAAAGTATTCATTCCTAGGCTTGATATATGAAGATTGTGACTCAGTAGTTTTTTATTTAAATTTTATTGTAAAAATGATATACAAAGAGGTTTTAGATACTTAAGTCAGGCAAGGAATATATTTCTTTTTGAACAAATGTCAGTAGGGCTTTTTAATAGTATATATTAAGTTACCCAAGTGGATTTTTTCTGTGACCTTCTCATACATGTGTACAGTGTACCTTCATCCAACTTACACCTTCCATCACCCTCCCTCCTACCCAGCCATCTTCTTTAAATAAGTTCAAAAGATTTCATTGCTCTTTTCACACATATGTAAATGTAAAGTACTTTGACTCTATTTACCCTTCTTTACCCTCGCCATTCTTTTCAATGAAGCCCAAGGTTTTGTACCTTTGTTGTGTGTGTGTGCAGGTCCTGGGGCTTGAACTCATGGTCTGGGTATTATCTTTGAGCTTCCCCCACCCCCCCCCACCTCAAGGCTGCTCTCTGTCACTTGAGCCACAGCTACACTTCCTGCTTTGGGGGAGCTTAATCTGAGATAAGAGGCTCCCAGACTTTCCTGCTTGGGCTATCTTTGAACCTCAGTCCTCAGATCTCAGCCTTCAATACAGACATGAGCCACCAGTTCCTAGTGATTTTGTACATCTGAAGAAGTTACCCATTGTGGCCTAGCCTAAATTTTGCTGAAACATATAAAATGAATTGTCCTGGCAGTACAGACCAGGGATTCAGACCTGGAACCAAGATGCAGGACTCCTAGCTCTCACCTGCTGGCAATATGGTGAGACAGACTTTAAACACACATACATACATACACACACACACACACATTACTCACTCCTCCAGAGCCCCAGTCATCAGGATGTCTTCCTTGTCAGTTTTCACATCCAATTCTGGTTCTCCACTAAGAAGAAGCTTCAAGTTGTAAATAATTAGCAAAGTACCTGGTAGAAGAGCAGATGTTTAACTTGTTAATATTATAAATATGCTCATTGCCAGGCATTGCGTTATTAACTCCTCTATGGAACTGAGTTCTCTGTAGACCAGATTTCCTTTTTTACTTTAGTAAATAATACATCTGGAAAAGCTCCAAGATGTATCTTGAAACAAATTCCACTCTCTGCCAAAAGTGTTGATTTTCCACAATATAATACTGCTTACTACTACTCAATTCATTAAATCTTTCAAACCTTGGCACTCTTTCCATCATTTGCATTCTGAAAATTGTTAGGATCCTGAGCCCAGTTTGTATTACAGGCAAAGCTTTCATTGGTGGAACTGAAGTCAATTCATCAGAGAACAAATATGAGTTTTTAAAGTTTGTACAGATACTAAGTATTGCTGTGAGACCCCATAGTACTGCTAACTCTTCTCTAGTAAAGAACTTAAGAGTAAACATAGGTTTGTAGCCATTTGTTCTGTCACATATAATTACAACTTAACTCTGCTACTGTCATAGAAAAGAAGCCTTAGAGAAGACATAACAAATAAATATAGTTGTATTCCAATAAAACTTTATTTATAAGCACAAGCATACAGCTGAATTTGACATGAGGCTGTAATTCACTGACCTCTGTTCTAAGACCTGACTAATAATTTTTTAAAGCTGAAATTGTTTAAAAAGATAATTACCACATTAAGAAAAATAAGATTATCAGAGAAGTTAAAAATGAAATCTAATACTTATTATAGAGGGGAGTAAAACAGTGGCTAAGAACAAGAACTTCAGCAGCTAAATATCTTTGGCTAAACCCTAGGTCAAGCATTTAATAGGGCAGTGGCCTCAAAGACATATCCTCATCTTTCGAAACCTAATGTTTCTAACCTATACAGTGACATGCATGCGGAATTTGTCACCCAGAGTTGTGTCGGGGAATGAACTGGCATAAATTTTAGAAAGCAATTGGACCAGAATTCATAAAATAAAATGCTCCACGAGTATTTGAGTATTTCACAACCACAAGTCAACTAAGAGATTCTACTAAATTCCCTTGAGAGATATTCTATCTGTGCTAATAAAACCATTAATAACTTGCTGGACATTACACTTTTTCTAAGACAAAGGAAAAGAAGTGGCTTAATACACAATTTTAACAAAAATACTACACATTTGTTTTTGAAAGGAAATCTGGACAGTAGATTCAGCCTGAGACCAACCTACTGAAATTATACAATAAACATTACGTCCATCAGAGTTGCAAAAAAGAGTGTACACAGCTTTCTGTCACATAAGATTCTTGCTTCTGCCAAGCATATAATGGTGTAGAGAGGAAACAGGGTGGAAGTCTGAGGAAGAATGCACTGGAAAATGTCAGGAGAGCCAGCACTCTCCAGGTTAAACAGAAAGCTGATAGCGATTGAAAGCATGAGGGGAAGGCTCTGTAAATGTGCAAGAACACTGACAGTGCCTTTGCTAACCCTCAGCCATGGAAACATGGATGCATCTTCTACAAGGGGAAAACTTTCCTATCAGCCTGGCATCACACAGTCTGAGATGATACCATAAGCAACTCCTGACTTTGCTGTAAGATTCGGGACTGGGGAATCCCTAGGGTAGCAGAATGCTTCATTCTCTTCTCATTCCACATTACCAGGCTCATGCAAGTCAAGAATTTATGGTAACTGGTGTTTGGATTTTCTTCAGACAAAACTCCTATGGGTGGAAGAACTGACTGCCCGATTGAAGCACTCCTAGAGTCTTCGCTAAAACACTGAAACAAAGACTTGCATCAAAATGCTAATGTTGATGATCTTACCACATTTTCCATAGATCATATCAAATTGCTGCATCAGCTCTGCTTCATTTTTAAATGGGGAGTACTTATAAATTATAGACAGCTCTGTTGAGAATTTCTGGGGGTCATCTGTGATAGATTCTCTGGTTTTTGTTATCCATGAAGGGATGGGAACTACAACCTACAAAAAACATACATCAATTATGTAATGCATACTTAAAACAACACCATCCTTTTGACTGATCCAAATTCATTCTACTCTTCATTCAAATGATAAAAGGTTTATTTTCCTCTTTTATCATAGTTTTAAGCAGATAACAAATATGTCTATCTGGGTTTCATTTTCTATTTTGGGATGTGGGCATGGATGGAGTCTACCTCCGCTCCCTCTTGAGAGAAAGTTAACAAGTTGAAAAGGAGATGACAGCATACCAAGAAATGCATCCAAAACCCTGCCAGAGAAGAGGAGCCAGCATGATTTACAAGTTGGATTTATGCTTGAGAGACAGAGAAGCATCTATATCCCCATCTGGCAATGCTCCTTCCCCACTATTTATTCTCTGAAAAGAGCAGAATGATGTATTTCTGGACCAGAAGACACATGGGCATTGTCATTAGAGAACCTTACTGACATTAGAAGGACCCAGTAAAAGTATGCAGATCAGATGCTGAGATTTGCATCCCTGGAGAATGCCAGCTAAGACCTTCGGATGGGAAGACTGTGGGGGTTTCTTGGAAATCTGACTAGTCCAGTAGAAAAAAGATCTTAAAATTATATTGTTTTCCCCAATAAGGCAACCAATTAGATCACATTGTGATACTCATAGCCACCACATCCCACCTCACCCTCAAGGTTTTCAGTCACCATTTTGCTCGATTTTCAAGTGTTCAGGATTTGTAGCCATCTGAGAAAAACCTCTAATGTGATAAAATAGAAACCAAATAACCAAATATAAGCAAAGTAACTCAGTGGGAAGAGAAGCTATCAGATAGAGATGAAACTTTCAAGGGAAACAGAATTACTGTGAAAATATTCAGAGCTAAACTGTTCATCGTAGTCACTATCTGCAATCCCAGCCACTTGAGGCTGGGGCAGAAGTAACACATAGGAGGCCACAGTAGCATACTGAAATCCTGTCTACACATTGGGATAGGGCATAAGGGAAGACGACTTGCCTAGCAAATGTGAAGTCCTAAGATCAAAGCCTAGAATTGTGTGTGTGTGTGTGTGTCTATAGAAAAAGAATATATGAAAAAATTTGGAGTTGGGAATGTGGCTTAGTGGTAGTGTGCTTGCCTAGCATGCATGAAGCCCTAGGTTAGATTCCTCAGTACTACATAAACAGAAAAAGCCAGAAGTGGCAATGGGGCTCAGGGACAGTGCCCAGGCCCTGAGGTCAAGCTCCAGAACTGGCCCAAAATAGGAAGAAGAAGAAGAAGGAGGAGGGGGAGGGGGAGGGGGAGGGGGAGGGGGAGGGGGAGGGGGAGGGGGAGGGGGAGGGGGAGGGGGAGGGGGAGGGGGAGGGGGAGGGGGAGGGGGAGGGGGAGGAGGAGGAGGAGGAGGAGGAGGAGGAGGAGGAGGAGGAGGAGGAGGAGGAGGAGGAGGAGGAGGAGGAGGAGGAGGAGGAGGAGGAGGAGGAGGAAAGAAATTGGAAGATAAACGTTGGGGAAAAAGTCTTTCCAATACAAACAGTAGAAAGATGTTCCAAGGGCTGAGAAGGTGGCTCAGTGGCAGAGTGCTTGCCTTGAATGCAAGAGGCCCTGGGTTCCATTCCTCAGCACCACATAAGCAGAAAAAACCAGAAGTGGCACTGTGGCTCAAGTGGTAGAGTGCTAGCCTTGGGCTGAAGAGCTGAGGGACAGAGCCCAGGCTCAGAGTTGAGGCCCCACAACAGAAAGACAGGAAGGAAGGAAGGAAGGAAGGAAGGAAGGAAGGAAGGAAGGAAGGAAGGAAGGAAGGAAGGAAGGAAGGAAGGAAGGAAGGAAGGAAGGAAGGAAGGAAGGAAGGGAGGAAGGGAGGAAGGGAGGGAGAGAGGATGGGAGGGAGGGAGGGAGGAAAGGAGGGAGGGAGGGGGGAGGGACAGAGTGGGGGAGGGAGGGGGGAGGGAGGGAGAGAAGGAAGATGAAAGATGTTGCAAGCTTCTTCTTCCAGAAGTCTCCTTCTAACAGAAGTAGTATCTTATTTGGGGAGATTTTAACCTTAAGAAAAATGAAATGAAATTCTCCAAAAGGCCTCTAAGGACTCCAGAATGTACAGATATTTCCTCTCCATCTCTCAAACACATCCTTAAGTTCCTCACTCATCGTCAGAAGGAAGTCAGGGCCACACTTCACTTCTTGAGCAGATAAAAGGAAACACCACCATCACTATCTACCGTGGAAGTGGAAGGAAATACTCAACTCTTACCTCGGTAAGGCCTTCTCTTTCACAGAAAGTCTGAGAAAAAAATAGACAGGTCATCGTTTCTTCCTTCTTTGTAAAAAGAATGAAGTCTTTGCCAATTCTCATGGACCCACTGTATTAAAAAATGAAGAACATAATGGTTTACATCTCAGCACCAATAAAGAACAAGCAAATAGGCATGATTCTGTTGACTGCAACACACTGTTCTAACAACCCTTCTGTTGACCCAACACCAAGAAACACAGTTTTATTTCACTTCTCACAATAGATTCAATGAATCTGAGTATCAGCTCCACATTCCTCCTGGCCAGTTGCTAGAATAAAGCTACATCCAGGGCGCTGCAGAACCATCAGGCCCTGGCATAAGCTACAAGTTTCTGAGTCTGATGTCCTTGCCTCTCATTGACATGAGCAAAATATAGACACAACCGTAGACACAACAGTAAAATAGGCTTCGAGGAGCAGTCAAACACGGAGATTCAATGAGGTTCAATAAAGCTGTACAAGTCCAGAAGTACTGCTTTGAAAGGGCCTGCAGGAATCCATCTTATGGTGAGAATTAATTTTTTTAAATATAAAGATCCAAATCAATTATGGATATGGAGTTTTCAAACAAGATAGAAGTCCTTCCTAAATGTAAACTCTGCTCAAAGCTTTATATGGAAAAAAAAAAAAAGAAGCTTCATATGCCTGCATGGCTCTGTGTGAGACTGTCTTCAATACTATTTCCACTATCAATACTATGTGCTTTAAGGCGGAAAAAAATAAAAATACAACTCACCTTTTCAGCCCATTTCCATATTGCCCAATGAACTTCAAGGTGGATAACTGCTTCTTGGAGGTTCCAAAGTATATGATGTCTGAAGAGTCCTCTGCAATTGACAAGGAATTTTCTTTTTCAGTCATTCCCTCTCTCCCTCCCTCCCTTCTTTGTAATCTTGGGGTTTGATTTGAACTCAGGGTCTCCAATTGAAATACTCTACCACTTGAAAAACATTCCCAATCCTTTTTGCTTTGCTTATGTTGACATAGATCTTCCGGTTTTTCCTGAACTAGCTAGGACTGCAATCCTATTTATGCTACCTGCATAGCCATTATGACAAATGTTGGTTGTCATTCCCAACTTTGTTGTTGCTGCTGTGGTTGAGATAGGATTTCACTACTGTTTTGTCTGAGGTGTCCCTAACCCTTGATCCTTCTATTTTTTTTCTTTTTACTGAGTTTTCTTTTTTTTTGGGGGGGGGGGTCCGGTCATAGGGCCTGAACTCTGGGCCTGGGCGCTGTCCCTCAACTCTTCAGCTCAAGGCTAGTGCTCTACCACTTGAGCCACAGCGCCACGTCTGGCTTTTTTCTTTTTGCTTATGTGGTGCTGAGGAATCGAACCCAGGGCCTCAAGCATGCAAGACAAGAGCTCTACCACTGAGCCACCTTCCCAGCCCCCTTGATCCTTCTATTATCTGCACACTGCCATCCCACAATATCTGGGATTACAGAGAGGAGGCAGCACATATGCTTTCTTCCCCCTTGAAAAAATTATTTAATGGGTTTTATTATTCTATTTACATGCATGCATATTGATCATATTCACATCCCCCTATCATATCCTATGGCTCTCCCTATCATCTTGATGAAGACTTTTTAAATGAGTAGGATATTTCTTTGCCAGTAGCCTGAGGCATAACACTTTGGGGCATTAGGATAGGTAGATAGCTCCCCAACCAGCCTACAGGGTACTTGTATCAGGACCCATGACCACTGAGAAGAATTTTTTTGAAGGGGGTGAGGAGATTTTTTCTTTTAAAAAATTTTATTATTTTTAAGTAGTTGTACAATGAGGTGCCATTTAACAAAGTAATTTATGAATATAATTTATCTTGATCAGTGTCACACCTCCTTCAACATTCACACACACACACACACACACACACACACACACACACCCTTTCACCCACCCCTTCCCTTACTTTTCTTTTGTGGTATATACAGTGAATTCTTGACTGCATTTTCCTCACTCCTCGCTTCTTTCATCTACCCCTCTCCTCTTGGTCCTAGCTCCCCTCCCCATCCCCTTAAATGTAACCCTTTCCTGGTGCTGATTTTGTTGGGACTTTGACCTTGTTTTTCTAAAAAAAAAAAACTATACTATTTGAGCTCTGTATAAGGCCAATTATATTTCCATTAACTTATTTGCAACTACTTGCATACCCCCCAGTATGTTTCCTTATGGATTTATAGGCATATTTTAGCTACCACAAATGAGAGGAACATGCAACCTTTGTTTCTCTGAGTTTAACTTACTTCACTTAATATAATTTTTTTTCAAGTGTTTCCATTTCCTTATGAATGGTACAATATCATGATTTCTGGCTATAAAGGAAATGCAAATCAAACAACACTGAGATGAGTTAGAATCGTCATTATCAAGAAAACAGACACAATAAATCCTGGCAAGGATATGGCCAAAGGGGAATGCTATTACATTGTTCAACTGCTATAGAAAACAGTATGGAGGTTCCTCAAAAAAGAACAAACATAGAACTACTCAGTGACCCACTTCTGGGCATTTGTCCAATAGAACACAAACGAGGTTACAGTAAGTAAAGCCACCAACACAACCATGTTCATTGCAGCATATGGAATCAGCCCAGTTGCCCCTCAATGGATGAATGAATACATATACACAATGAGATTTAACTCATCCATTAGAATGATACTGGCAAAGATCTTAATGGTATCATTTGAGGTCAGACACATCACACAATATGACCATGAGTAGAGCTTAAAACTCTGAGCCTTACTTTTCTTATCTCTAATACTTATACACTTGATGAAGATACATATAGCAAGTTAAATGAGATGATGTGAGGAGACCCTGGGCACATTACTTGCTACTTAATAAGTGTTAGTAGATTGTTAAAAGTGGTTTTTATTATTTGTAACCATGAATAATTTTTTCTCATAGGTTTGTCCCAAATCTAGGTCCACATAAGACTGAAGAAAACAGAATGGCTTCTCTTCTGATACTTCCTGGGGAAGAGGAGTTAATCACTTCACACTTTCCGTCATTTTCCTTGACTCTCCGGAGCACTTGTTTTAGGAAGGAATCCTCCAGATTTCAAAATATACTAATCTCCATAACCAAGAATGTTCATCTTATCAGCCTACCTGAGTACATGCTTTAAAATTATCTCAAGGACCCTGGATACAGACATGTCACAGTTTAGTGGCACCAAGTACGAGCTATATAAAGATCATTAAATGCCCTGTTATTCTGTAGCTAATGGACATTCAATCATATTTTCCTAAGGAGTTAGCCTGTGTTAGCCATATTAACATAGGGAATTAGCTACTGTGTTCTCCACGATGACAATATTAGCTACCAGAATGAGAGTTACATAGAATAGTTGAGCATCCAACCTCCCTAGCCATAAAAGAAATGCAAATCAAGACAACATTGAAATTCCACCTCACCCCCGTTAGAATGGCTATAATCAAGAACTCTAATAACAACAGATGCTGGAGGGGATGTGAACAGAAGGGGACCTTACTGCATTGTTGGTGGGAGTGTAAACTTGTTTAACCAACTTGGAAAGTAGTATGGAGGTTCCTCAAAAGACTCCACATAGAGCTCCCCTATGACCCTGTAATACCACTTACACAAATGATCACAAACAAGACCAAACTAAATCTACCAGCACAACTATTTTATTCAGCATTATTTACCATAGCTAAGATATGGAACCAACCCAGATACCCCTCAGTAGATGAATGGATCAAGAAAATGTGGTATATATACACAATGGAATTCTATGCCTCCATCAGAAAGAATGACATTGCCCCATTCGTTAGGAAATGGAAAGACTTGGAAAAAATTATCTTAAGTTTTTTGAAGTAAGCCAGGCCCAAAGAAACATAGGTCCCATGGTTTCCCTTATTTGTAATAACTAGTACATGTCTGAGACAAGCAGAAATTTTCAGATAGGTTGATGTTAAGCGAAATGAACTCCAAGATAAGGACTCAAATGTTTTTTTCTTTCTTGCTATTGTGTCTAACATATTTATAAGATATTTCATTGTTGCTTTGTATGTCCCTCCTCCAGGCATAACCCCTGCTTTCACTGTATTTGATGTTGGTATAATTTGTGGAGGGGAAGGGAAAAAAGAAATTGTTTAAATAGGGATACAGGTGGACCCATTGCAACAATAAGATGTACAGGATGTTATATCAAAAATGAACTTTACAACTTTGGTGGGGGGGGAGGATTGGGTAGGGGGGAGCAGGGGGAGATGGGAAGGGATGGGAAGGGGAAACAAAGGAGGAGGCAACAGTGCTTGATAAGAAATGTACTCATTATTTTGCCCATGTAATTGTAACCCCTGTGTATACTATTTTTACAATAAGAAAACATATTTTAAAATATTTTTTAACAAAGGAGGAGGCAACAATGCTTGATAAGAAATGTACTCATTACCTTGCCCATGTAACTGTAACCCCTCTGTACAGTATTTTCACAATAAAAAGAGAAAAGAAAAGAATAGTTGAGTATCTTCTAATCTTGCTAATAAATATTCTTTGGCAATTTAAGCCAAGAGGACATTGCTTCTCTTTGCATTCACAGCTGCTGGATGGATGGATGACCATTCTTCTCTTGAATTTCCAACTACCCAGAGCATTTCCATATGACTTGAATTCCTTCACCAATTTTTAAACACAGTTTTCAGAATCTTGTCTTTTGGTACCTAGAGTGTTTTCAAAACTCAAGAAATGTGATGCCTAAAACAAACCCCTTATCAGAAAGAGTAGCATTTCAATTGCACAACATTTGAACTGTGCGCCTATTATGTGTTGACTTTGTGCTAACTTTAAATGACAAAGATAATTCATACAATATATTATAGATGTATTCCTATGATGAGAACATTCCTTTGAGGAACTAAACCTTTGAACATGCAGAGGAAAAACAACATAAACTGCTAAACAGGAGAGACAACCTCTACCTCAAGGTTATGCAGAAATTAATAATAGCCTAAAGGCATGGGAAACTGCCCTGGGGCTTTTTGCAAGTAATGACAACCGAAAGAACTAAAAGGAATCTTAGCACTGTTTGTGTGCTATTCGTTCCCAGGTGTATTTTTCTTACAATCAAACCATTTGTCTTTCATTTTCCTGACCCTAATTATTTATTGTACTTTATGTGTCGGTTTCGGTGGTTAGAATGAATATAGTTTGCTAGCTAGCATATTGGAACCCAAATACTTCAAAAACTAAGTTCAGCCTGGGCTTTAGTCTCCTATTTTAATAGCTCCATGCCTGTTTTTTTAATAGATAGCTCAATTTATTTTTATTTATTTTATGACTTTTCAGACTGTTTCCTTTAACAGCCAGTTAGGTATCGAGCAAATTAACTTACCAGGGCTCATGCCGCATCCATCATCCAGGAAACACAACATGAATCCACCCTGCAGTTTTTCATTATCCACTGTAAGAGAACGTAGTTATTACTAATAAATATTGGGCTTAATTTGTTCCTCAGAAAGTCCTACTGCTCACATAATTATCTGTCCTCCTCCACTGCAGCCACAGAGTGACAGAGTTATGGCACAGTTATGGAGCTCAGAATGGAGTCTTGGCTACAGCTTCCTAAGAAACTGCAGGGAGAAAATAATCATGCAGCAAAATGGCTTTAAATTAAAATAAAGCATCTACACATTAATAAATTATGTATACAGCAGGATGTACCCTGCTCTAGAATTGGATGGGTCCGTTCATTAACTTCAGGTATTTCTTTCCTAAGGGATGGAAAAACATAGATGGAGATGTGACCCTAGGACCGCTCTATCAAACTGATCAACCTTTATGCCCTTTCACCAAAATGCTAAACAAATCCAGGCCATTTTGATTAAATTCATCAGGCTCCCTTCTAAGTACTTAATAGCCATATGAGTCTTTTGAGAGTGTTTTTCTGAAGCAGAAAACATGTGCCTCTTGAAGATGAATTGGATTTTTGAAAGTGCTAACAAAATTTGAAATCAATTTTAATGATTAAGAGATACCAATAAGTGACATGCTATTATGTCTGATTTTAAAAAAGACTTTAAAGGTATTATAAAACTAATGAGACTAATTTTAGTACACAAATTCAACAGCTGGATATATCATTCCTATTACGTTTCCTTTCTCAATGTGTTATTAATGAGTAATTTCTGTGCAATAATATATTTTTAAAGTATATAGCTGAATCAATTTTGACATGTACATGACATATACATGTGATATATATAGGCATATGTTACATATAATATATCTAATGGCATATTTATGCCATCACATATATCCCATATTATGGCATATGCACACTCGTGAATCCACCACCACAACCAAGGCAGAGATTATATCCATAAGTCTATCACCTTAAATGTTTCCTCCTAGTTCCCTGTAATCTCTTGTTCTCCTTCTAATTTCCATCACCTTCAATACCTCCCTAGACAATTACTGATAAGCTTTCTTTCCCTACAGATTTGTTTTCTAGCATGTCTAGGTCAATCTCTTTGTTCACAGACCAATTTGAATTCACATTTAAAAATTAACTAATGTTCAAAATGGCCCATAAATAACCATCAAGAGGACATACCTAGTTGTGCTAGTTTATTTTATGTTGTTATAATGAAATACCTGAGGCTGTTGATGGAAGCAGATACAGATACAGAAGCCTAAAGGCACAGTGTACATTTTTGCTCAGCTCTGGTAAGGGCCTCATAGTAGATGTCATCACAGTGGTAAGAGTACATGAAGGCAAACATTCCAGAAAGGAAGATAGAAGGCAAACAGGAACCCAGTTGCACTCTTGGATACACTTCCAGGAGGACTAATTCACGCCATGAGACCAAGCATTAATTCTTCCAAGACAAGGCCCCAATGACCTAACCACCACTCCCATAATCCCTACTGCTTAAAGGTTTCACCACATCTCAACATTGGCAAACCAACAATGAAGCTTCTAACGTGTCAACCTGTAGGGGTGAACCATATCCTAATATAGTGCTAATCTTTTGGAGTTTGTAGTATAAAAATCATATTCCCACTCTAAAAGTTCCTCCTGGTAATAATCTATGTTCATCTGGGATTGAAAACCACCTGGCCTACCTGGTCTAAGATGAGGCTAGACTAGGTAGAGTGCTTGCTTAGCATTCATGAGGTTCAATTCCTCAGTACCACATAAACAGAAAAAGCTGCAAATGGTGCTGTGCTCAAATGGTAGAGTGCTAGCCTTGCGCACATAGACGCTCAGGGACAGAGCCCAAGCACTGAGTTCAAGCCCCAGGACCAGCAACAACAAGCAAACAAAAAAGCCAACAGGACTCTTAACACTTTCATAGTTCATACATGTACTTTACTAGGCTTAACATGTAGTACTTTGCCATGAAGTACTTGACTATACCTAAAGTACACGTACTATGAATATGTGTATTAAAATACTCATCTGTCGTCTATTTCTCTTTCACACCAATGATGCTTACATTTTGGGGATACAGTTATGTCAGAGATAGGACAAAGCTATCAGCCCTACTCACCAAAGTCAAGATACGTCCTACATTTTCCATGCCAATGGAAAAAGGATGCTAGTTTATTAAAAGGGGCATGATGTATACTAAGCACTTTGATCAATGTCTGGAAATTAATGAGTACTTTAAAAATGTATTTAACCTAGGCACCGGTAGTTCATGCCTATAATCCTAGCTACTCAGGAGGCTGAGATCTGAGGATCGAGGTTCAAACTCTACTTCTAATTTTATTATAGTCTTTAAGCATTGATCCCAAGTCAAATGCCCAGGATACTATCTTGTGGCTCTAGGAAGCAACAGGAAACTACAGCCTCTAGTTAATCATGATGGTAAAAGACTAATATTCCATAGTATACTGTGTAGCTAAGCTGTAGTTCTATCATTTAGGTGTATGAAACACATTTTCCACCCACTATCTGTTCAACCTACAGTGGTTTATCAGGATAGAACCCCAAGGAAGCTGACCAACATCTATAATTGGATATGAAAGACAAGGCCTTGTTTTCACCATGAAGAAAGCTCTACTCAGTCCCTAGACTCACTTTTCCTCTGCTCAGATGAGCTTCTCCCCACCCCACCCCCACCCCCATTCCCACTGGTCACTTAGGAAAGAACCAGCTGAGAAGACTCTGTTCAAAGTCTTCTATTCCCTTTTGGGAGTAAGCTGCCCAGAGACCACACGGGGTTACCTCTGCCCAGGGTAGTTTTGAACAAAACTGAGTACACCCAGCTCCCATAACCCTGAAATTCTAGGGTTTGATCATCTCTTTGCTCTCTAACTGAAGCTACCCATTCCAACCTAATACTTAACAGTGGTAGAGGCTGACTCTTTTTTATCTCAAACTTTACAGAACTGAGTGAAATAGAGGGTCAGGCTTTTTTTTTTTTTTTTTCAGATTGCCCAAGATGATCATGTATACCTCTCTTGTGAACCATAAGTACTCAATGAGCTGAGTATCATAAAGGCTCAGAGGTGTGGACTGAACTGAGCTGACTTTTAGCCAGGTGTACACTCACATCATGGATGATGTCCTCTCCCCTGTGAGTGATAACTGATCCCACAGAGCAGCTGACAGAACTGGGTTAAGAGGGAGTATCAGCCACAGAGCTGATATATTCACTATAGACTTACATCACAAAAGCTAAAGCCATCACACCCAGTCACACCCTGATGAGATTCACTAATAATTGCCACAAACAATTGAAGACTGTGAATGAAATCAACAGCAACAACAAAAACATGGGGATTCTTCTGTTTGAATTTTGGAGCCTTCAGATATTCATGCTGCACATTCATTCATGCATTTTTAAAACTGTGATAAGTTGGACATAATGTACATTTAATTATGAATAACCATTAAGTTAATATGTTTTTTTAGTAAAATTGCTTCTTCTAACTGCTCCAAATCCCACTGATGCTTTACAAAACTCTGTGAACTGAATTTAGCAAATGGGTCCTCTAATAAGTGAACAATTTGATTCGGAGTCTACTTTTCTCAACTCAGCTCCTCCTATACTCACAAAGCACTTAGATTACATTAAAGTCTATAGAATGTGGTTTGATTTCATAAGTAAAATAATAGCAACAGGCTCTTCCATTCGGAGACAAAGGAGGAAAAAAAATCTTGGCTTACCTGAAAACACATCAAGTCGTGTGGCCCCTGCATCTCTAGAAAAAAAACATGAAAATATCATTGCTGCATGGTGAGAAAGTACATTTAAAAATTATATTGATCTGAATTGCTTGTATGAGGGCAAATCTACTGTCAGATGTCAAACAATATAAAAATCTACTTAAATTGCTCCAAAATCAATTACCAAAGTGTTTCACTGTACATTTCTATACTATCATTACCTGTAATTTGAGAATATTATAAAGAAATCTGAAAGAAGACATAGAATTTAGTGGCAGTTACACACATACACACAAAAAAACTCAACAAAATTCATATGAATATGGTATTTTATTTTCAAAACTGACTGGAGAATAATCCAGAATGATAGAACCATTTTCTGAAATATTTTCATTTAAAACATTGAAAGGAAAAGGCAAATTACTATGTAATATGTACTATATGGCCACATTTTTTAAATTTTTTATTGATGATTGGTGATTACATAAATTTCACATATTTCACAGTATTGTGGAATAGAGATAGTTAAAGTCACAAACACATTTTAACCTTCACAAGGCAAATTGTCATTATCATGATCTATACAGTTTGTGAATTCTATGAGCCTTGACAATACAACTATTTCTTCCACATCAGGTGATATGTACATTTCTTTCCTTTTGCTTAGTGTAAGCTGTTCCCTCTTTCCCTCTCATTCTCTCCCTCCCATCGCTGCTTTTGAGTTGCTTAGTTCATTTTCATCTATGTCCAGTGCAGCTGATGGGCCCCTCTGTTGTATGTGTTCCTGTTCCCCTCTGATTGTGTCCTTCTAGCTTCCCTCAGATGTGCGCATATATATACCATATACGTGGTCGAGAACATGGAGTCATTTAGCAATGATACCACAAAATGAGTGGAAGTCCTTTGTTTCTCCAGTTCTGTTTACTTTGTCATATCTCCTTGCATTTTGGCTTTAGCACCACATATCAGGGGGACCGTGTGCTGTTTGTCCCTTTGCTCTTGGTTTACCTCTCTCAAAATGATTTGCTCTAGCTCCATCCATTTCCCTGAAAATGCCATTATTTTGTCCTTTCTAATGGCTGCATAATATTCCATTGTATATAGGTACCACAATTTTGGATTCACTCATCTGTAGTGGATTCATCTGGGTTGTTTCCATATCTTGGCTATTGTGAACAGGGCTGCAATGAACATGGAGGTGCATGTGTCCTTGTATCCTGGTTCCTGTTGCTCAGGGTAGATGCCTAGGAGTAGTACGGCTGGGTCATAGGGGAGGTCTATATTTAGCTTTCTGAGGTACCTCCAGACTGCTTCCCAAAGTGGTTGTATTAGTATACATTCCTACCAGTAATGCAATAGGGTTCCTCTTTCTCCATATCCCCTCCAGCAATTGTTGTTGGCTGAATTTAGAATGCAGGCCATTCTGACTAGGGTAAGGGGTATCTCAGTGTTGTTTTTATTTGCATTTCCTTTATAGCCAGGGATGAAGAACATTTCCTCATGTGTTTCTTTGCCATTTTTCTATTTTCTTCTGAGACTTCTCTTTAGCTTCCTTGCCCACTTAATGATTGGTTTGTTAGATTTTGGGAGAGGTTAGTTGCTTGAGTTTTCTGTATATAATGGGTATTAGGCCCTGGTCTGATATATTGCTGGTAAATTTTTTTCCCAATTAGTTGGCTATCTTTCTAGTTTGGTTGCTATTTCTTTAGCTGTGCAGAAACTTTTTAAGATAGTCCCATTTATCTAGTCTCTCTTCAATTTGTTGTATATGGTCACATTTTAATTAATTTTTATTGTTGTACAGATGGGTTACTACTTCATGAGTCAGCTATATAGTCACAAAGAAATCAAAATGTTAAGAGTTTTCTCAAGGTCAGAGGTGGGAAAACTGTGGCTCATGGTCCAACCTGGCTTAGCAACTGTGTTGTAAATAAAGTTTTATTAGAACCTAGTTATGTCTAGTTATGTCTATGTATTTAAATCATAGCTGCAGTTGAATTAGTTTAACAGAGACATAGCCTCTAGAGGTAAAGATATTCACTGTCTGGTCTCTTACAGAAAAAAAATATGTAGATTCATACTCTACCTGATGAGATTAGCTGTGATATTTTTGCTATTTTTATTTTTCTTGGTTTTCTATAATTCACAGGTATTCTTTTTGTATTTAAATATATATTTTTTTAAGTAAAAAAGGGCTGCCAGTTTACAAAGGTAACTCTGGGAACTGTTCGATGAATTCCATTTCTTCCTTTCCTCCAGTCCTAAGTCAATCCATAATGGGAAGGAGAAAATATAGTCTGCAAGATTAACAAGTATGTGTTCTTTCAGAGTGTTTTGAGACATCAAGCTCTGAAACCAAAGTAGTCATGACTGTGTATCCTTGCTTCAAGACCATAAGCAGTACCTCTTTGCTACAGTGCCACTTTAATCTGCAAGAAGCTAACAACAGGTCCTCATCTGCCCTGTTTGCACCTTCTGACCTGAGTCCATGTCTTTCTTTCTTTCTTTTTTTTTTTTGCCAGTCATGGGGCTTGAACTCTGGGCCTGGGCGCTGTCCCTCAGCTCTTCAGCTCAAGGCTAGCGCTCTACCACTTGAACCACAGCACCACTTCTGACTTTTTCTGCTTATGTGGTGCTGAGGAATCGAACCCAGGGCCTCGTTCATGCAAGGAAAGCACTCTACCACTGAGTCACCTTCCCAGCCCCTCCATGTCTTTCTTGACTAATTAACTCTATTCTCTGTCCTCCTCCATCCCTTTCAATGATTCCATTAGTTGAGAAGATTTCTCAAAATAGGGAGCCCTAGCCACTATATTTATGTTTTTCAGTTTGCATTGTCCAGTTTCAATTTATTTCTATTTATTTAGAATCATGAACAGTATGCAGGAGTTACATGGTAACAATATCACAGACGCATACATACACTGCACTTTGAACAATGTGCTAGCACTTTGTGCTGAGTGCTGGGGAAATCCTGGAGGGCTGCTTGTCTGGCTACACTCAGTGGTGGCACTCTCAGAAGGGCCTTTTCCCTTCTGATGTCAAAAACTGGAAGGCAAATGCAAAAAGCTGAAATATTGTGATGAACCAGTGGTAGGGAATTTATGTCCTCACTGAGATCCCTGTTCTAACAACCGGACTGCTGGGCAGAGTTAGTATTCTACAAAGAAAGGAGAGAAAATCTTCTGCCACAGGAAATTATAAACATAAAACAAGCCCAAATGCCATATTCAATTGAGATAAAATTTTGAGTCCTGAGGCAGGTATAATGGCATGTTTGTAATACCAGCGTTGGGGAGGCTGAGTTAGGAGGATCATGAGTTCAAGGCCAACCAGGGCTAGATATCAAGTTTGAGTCAAAGAAAGGAAGGGAAAGATTGAGGAAAGGGCTGAGAAGGTGGCTTAGTGGTAGAGTGCTTGCCTGGCATGCATGAAGGCCTGGGTTCAATTCCTCAGTACCACATAAATAGAAAAAGCTGGAAGTGGTGCTGTGGCTCAAGTGGTAGAGTGCTAACCTTGAGAAAAAGATGCTTAGGGGTGGTGCCCAGGCCTGAGTTCAAGCCCCAGGACTAGCAAAAAAAAAGAGTCATTAAAGAGGTTAAACTACAATACCTTTATCAGAGTCAGAAAAAAATATATAATACTGGGTTTTTATAGCCAACTGGTCGTTAGAATTCTAGCTCCATCCAACAATAATTGCATAACTTTTTAAAAATTATTTTATTTTTGAATTATCATGCCTTTGTAGTATGAGGGGTTTTTTTTCACTGTGATATTTGCATGTATGCCCACAGTGCCCTATCAACAAATTCACCACCTTTACCTTGTTCGCATTTAGTTGCAAAAATTGTACTAGACCATCAAACTTCCCTGGGTACCAAAATCCCACATGCGTGGAACAGGGATAATAGGCTCCATCTCCCAGTGATGCTGCCCATACACCAAATGCTCTTGTACACCTGACACATCATAAGAGGTGAACAATAGTTAGCCACTTTCCTAACTACATATTCTGATTTAATACAGATGTCAATAAATGTTTTAACCCAAAATTAATTTCTCCAGACACAGAGTACACTGATACAGAACTCATTATATATTCCAATGAGCATGCTCTTCATAGGGTTATTAACACAAATAGAAATCCAATAGGTCCCATAGTTTCTCTTATTTGCAATAACTAGTATATGTCTGAGACAAGCAGAAAAGGTCAGAAAAGATGATGTTAAGTGAAACGAACCCCAAGATATGAACACAAGTGGGTTTTTTTTATTTCTTGCTATTGTTTCTAATGTATTTATAAAGTACCACGTGATTTTTTTGTTGTTGCTTTGTATGTACTCCCCCCATGGTATAACCCCTGTTTTCACTGTATTTGATGTTGGTATAATTTGGAGAGGGGAAGGAGAAAAACAAATTGTTTAAATAGGGATACAGGTGGACCCACTGCAACGAGATGTACAAAGACACTATGTCATGATCTTGTATTTAAAGAATCCCATAGACTCCACTCCCAAATTACTCGAGCTGATTCAAAACTTTGGCAAAGTAGCAGGTTATAAAATTAACCCCCAAAAATCAATGGCTTTTCTGTATGCCAACAATGAGAAAAGTGTGGCTGAAATTAGGAAAGCAACTCCATTTGTAATAGCCCCACAAAAAATAAAATACCTAGGAATTAACTAAAGAAGTGAAGGACCTCTATGATGAAAACTTTAAAATCTTGAAAAAGGAAATCAACACAGAACTAAAAAAATGGCAAAGCCTCCCATGCTCCTGGATTGGAAAGATTAACATCGTGAAAATGGCAATACTTCCCAAGGCTATCTACAAATTCAATGCAATACCTATCAAAATTCCAACCTCATTCTTCAAGGAAATAGAAGAGGCAATCCAAAAATTCATATGGAACAATAAAAGACCCCAAATAGCAAAAACGCTCCTCAACGGAAAGAACACTGCTGGAGGAATATCAATACCAAATTTCAAACTCTACTATAAAGCCATAGTAATCAAAACAGCTTGGTATTGGCATAAGAACAGACCTCAGGACCAATGGAATAGAATTGAAAACCCAGAAACGAACCTACAGACCTATAGCCATCTAATCTTCGATAAGGGAGCTAAAACAATAGAATGGAAGAAAGACAGCTGGCAAAATTGGTTAACTACATGTAGAAAACTAAAGCTAGATCCTTATATATCACCCTGCACCAGAATCAACTCCAAATGGATCAAAGACCTTGAAGTCAAAGCAGACACTCTGAAAACATTACAGGATGGAATAGGAGAAACCCTAGGTCTCCTTGGCTCAGGCAGAAATTTTTTGAATAGAGACCCGGAAACACAACAAATCAAAGAAAGGTTGGACAAATGGGATTGCATAAAGTTGCAGAGCTTCTGCAGGGCAAATGACATAGCTAGCAAGATCAATAGAAAGCCCACGGAGAAGATCTTTACTAGCCATACAACGGACAAGGGTCTCATATCTAAAATATACTTGGAACTCAAAAAATTAAACCCCCCAACAACAAATCCTCAAAGAAACAACTGCCCAATAAATAAGTGGGTGAAAGACTTAAAGAGAAACTTCTCTGAAGAAGAAAGAAGGATGGCCAATAGACACATGAAGAAATGTTCAACATCCCTAGCCATAAAAGAAATGCAAATCAAATCAACATTGAGATATCATCTCACCCCAGTTAGAACGGCAAAAATCAAGAACTCTAACAACAACAGATGCTGGAGGGGATGTGGACAGAAAGAAACCTTACTTCATTGTTGGTGGGAATGTAAACTTGTTCAACCACTTTGGAAAGCAATATGGAGGTTCCTCAAAAGACTTCACATAGAACTCCCCTATGACCCAGCAATCCCACTTTTGGGCATTTACCCAAATGTTTACAAACAAGACCACACTAAAGCTACCAGCACAACAATGTTTATTGCAGCACTATTTACCATAGCTAAGATATGGAACCAACCCAGATGCCCCTCAGTAGATGAATGGATCAAGAAAATGTGGTATATATACACAATGGAATTCTATGCCTCCATCAGAAAGAATGACATTGCCCCATTTGTTAGGAAATGGAAAAACTTGGAAAAAATTATATTAAGTGAAGTAAGCCAAAGAAAGTGAAGTAAGCCAAAGAAAGTGAAATAAGCCAAAGTAAGCCAAAGAAACATAGGTCCCATGGTTCCCCTTATTTGCAATATCTAGTATATGTATGAGTCAAGCGGAAAAGGTCAGATAATGTGATGTCAGGAAAATGAACCCTTAGATATGTATTTTAATGTTTTTTTCTTTCATGCATGTGTTTCTAACGCATTTATAAGATTATCTCTTTGTTGCTTTGTATGTCCCTCCCCCACAGTATAACCCCTGCTTTCACTATATTTGATGTCAGTATAACTTGTGGAGGAGATGGGGAAAAACCAGTTGTTTAAGGATACAGGTGGACCTGTTGCAACAATGAGAAGTACAAGTTGTCATGTCCAAAACTAGCTTTACAACGTCGGTTGGGGGGGAGGGGGGGAAGGGGAGGGAAGGAGAAGGATTGGGATTGGGGGGGAGGGGGGAGGCTGGGAAGGGAGGTGAAGGGTAATCAAAGGAGGAGGCTGCAATGCTTGGTAAAAAATGTATGCATTATCCTGCCCATGTAATTGTAACCCCTCTGTACAGTATGTTCACAAATAAAATTAAATTAAATTAAAAAAAAAAAAAACAAAGACATTACGTCAAAAAACGAACTTTACAATATGGGGGAGGGGGGTACTTGTGGAGATGGGAGGGAAGGGATGGTAAGGGAAAAACAAAGGAGGCAATGCTGCTTGATAAGAAATGTACTCATTACCTTGCTCGTGTAATTGTAACCCCCCTGTACAGTATTTTCACAATAAAAAACGTATTTAAAACTTTTTTGATAATAAATAGAAATTAAATAAAGGTCAATAGTTCCTTCTCTCCTGTGTTCTGGTCCCAGAGAATGTTAATTTCATATGAAGAGAAGTCACAGAACATTCCAAATTGGGGGAAAGGGGCACGCATTGGGGAGAAATCATTATATTGTAATTTTCAAATGCAACCAGAGTAGGTTTATATTGTGAAATTCCATCAACAACGTGTGTGCTCAGAGAAACCTACCTTGCATTGTCCAGCAGTTCAGCAAGAGCTCCAAAGAGGAAACTGTGTGTCGTGCTGATGAGGAAGTAAAGGGAAAACAAAGTCAGCGGAGGGATATAAAAGGTTCCAGATACCTGCCGACAAATGCTCCTCCATCCTAGCCAGATAATCAATTAGCAAGGCATTCTGGAAACGACTTGCCCAGCACGATCAAGATTCTGAAGTAGATGCTCTGTATTACAAAGCCAGGGGTAAGAACACGTTTTGCCAAAGTACCCTATCAATTTCTGATAAAGCACAAAGTTCAGGGAGTGAGAGAAAACTCTGATCTTTCCAATTTGCTTTTGAAGGATGTATTCAAGTAGTTTTCTAGATAATTTTTCATTAAAATCACATTACATGAGATGTAATTAGGAAGTGGCACTGTGGCTCAAGTGGTAGAGCACTGGCCTTGAGCTGAAGAGCTGAGGGACAGTGCCCAGGCCCTGAGTTCAAGCCCCATGACCAAAAAAAAAAAAAAAAAAAAAGGAAAGATGTAATTATACCTAGGGAAAATGGCAGAAAACCCTATTCTACCAGGAGGTCATGGAGGTCCACTTGTAGATGCAGGATTTAGTGGGGGGGGGGGGGGCGGGGGGGGGGGAAGAACACATTATTTATTTCTGTTGAAAATTTCCAGCTCTGAAAAGTTAGTCCTTAAAGAACCTACTTGATTACCCTCAGCTTCTCTCTCTTGTGCCTATCAACACTGAGTCCTGGGAATCAGATGCTATGGGCAGCTGTGGGTAGCTTGTACAAGGCCCTGGGCTCCATCACAATAAACACACACACACACACACACACACACACACACACACACACACACACACACATCACTCCTGCCAGGTGTAAGTGACAAACATCTGTAATCGCAGGAGGATAGCCAGTTGAAGGCCAGTCTGGGCTTACATAATGAGTCCCTGTGTCATACAACAAAAAAACCAAAAATTCAATCCCCCTTCTCTTTTGTTTTACTGTGTCTGACTTAAATACATCTGTCTGTTTTCCTGATGTTGATGACTGCTCCATCCATTTTTTTTTTTTTGTCTGTTTTCTCCTTCCTTCACCTCCCATCCACCTGGCAGGTGGAGCTGGGATTGTTATGGTGATACTCTTTTTTGGGGGGGGTAGGGATGTGGGTCCAGTCGTGGGGCCTGAATTCTAGGCCTGCATGCTGTCCCTCAGCTCTTCAGCTCAAGGCTAGCGCTCTACCACTTGAGCCACAGCACCACTTCTGGCTTTTTTCTTTTTTGCTTATGTGGTGCTAAGGAATCAAACCCAGGGCCTCATGCATGCAAGGCAAGCACTCTACCACTGAGCCACCTTCCCAGCCCTGGTGATACTCTTAATGCTGACACGAGGCTAGTCTTCAGCAATGCTTTTTTTGGTAGTGACTTAAAGGATGGAATGAAGCCAATATCAACCCCTATTTTTATGGATTAAAGTCTTCAACAGACATCACCCAGGGGAGCTGAGGAGATGTTAGCTGGCATCTGATTTTGTTGCTCCTCTTCATGCTGCTGTCAGTTTTCTTATTATCATTTGACAACTGCAAAGGGACTGGAAGAATGGGTACCACAGAAGAGACTGTCAGAGAGGGAAACTGTGAAGTCATAGCAGCAGAAAGTATGCAAAACTGAGACTGGGGAACTTTTCCAACATAAAATTC